GCTTCGGACGACTTCTTTACTACCATTTGCCAAATCTGACCGATTATCACATCATCTACTTCTACAGACCCATCGGCACCACTCTTACCACTCACACCACTCATGAGCACCAATACTGTCACCAAATTGGAACCGATTGGAATCAGACCACCGCTAGTGATGATCGCTGTGTCTGCGCCGATGACTATTCGGGTCCCGATTGTGGCATACCTTCACTCGTGTCCGAATCTCTTGAGGCATTACACGCGTTGAACAGCACTTCCAGTGCTACTCCTCCTCACCTTAAGCTCAAGCGCCTAACGAAACCGAAACGTCTTGTATTATCTGTGATATTGTATACAAACAGTGGCCACCAATCGATACCATCTCTTCGGCAATACCTTAACGATACGATTAAAGATTTGTCACATTTTGTGGATCTCTTTATTATAACCAGAATTAATATAATTAATACTAAATCCAAAATTAAATTCAATAAATGCGACCCAAATGTGGGCCACAGTTGTCAGCCATCGGGTGATGATAGTTGGGATCAATTGAAAGCCAACTCATACTCCGATATAGTATTGTATTCAACGATAAATGTGACGGCAAACCAATTGCGGACAATCGGTACGAATGGTCTTCATTTGTACGCCATATCCAAAGTGTGGAAGACATCCATTAAACGGGTCACTGACAAAGCTGGTTTGCTACATGAGTAAATATACAGACAATTGTGTAAGGGTGAGGTCTTCTAACAATACAAAGAGTTTGTAATGTGGCCTAAGGGTCTTGGTTAGTTTGAGTAGTGGATAAGAAGCGGATATAGTCCATCCAATGCTTCCAACGAATATGATTTGATAGCAAAACAATTAATGGATCCTTTGGTGGCAAACAATAATACTTTAGTCAATATTGCGGTCACTTTTGAATATCTGTCTCTTTTATGCAGATATGAGTTCTCGTTATTTAAAACTAATCTTTGTGTCGATAATGAAGTGAATGTCAAGAAGTTTAATGAGACGTATTGGCCGATCAAGTATTGGACAATTGGCTCCTTTGCCGCCAACTGTTCAGCAAATGTATTACTTCCCGATGTTTGACATGTTTTTGCAATTTATTTGACGTTTAAATTATTACTATTTAGATATTTAAGTAAAATATATCTGCATTTATGGCTTGAATATTGTTATTGTTTTTGATAAATAATTAGAATTATATAATAATTTATAAAATAAATATTGAATTTTATCAATAGTTATCAAAAGTGAACTAAGATTTGATTTATATGTTATATTCGTAAACAACTCTATTTTCTACCACTTATTGATTGCTTTTTATAAGACACTACACTATATTCTCACTGTATTTACTTATACTGACTATAGTTAAACTTATTGTTACGTTAATTCAATTTCTAGTCATTGATATTGAAATTATAGATTTAAAAGACTGTTGTATTTCTTATAATTAACTAAATTTTAGTGCATAAGAAGCCAAATGGGAATGAAATGAATTGAAATAAATATTAAAATGATTAATTGAATTCAAATTTAACAACGAATGTATTATTATTAATATTTCTAACTATAACTAACTTACAGTATAATACAATTTGTTTTAAAATCAATTATATAATAATAATAATAAAAATAATAATAATAATAATTAGTTTAATGATAATTATCATAATAATAATTATAGTATAATATGATTATTAATCAATATTTTGTATTTTAAAGACTATCTGTATTCAGACATACAATTACCTCCGCAAACGGTATACATTTTTTTCGTAATATATATAACTATTTTGTTTTTTCATGTAATTTGAAGTAAAAATTCTAGAATTTACATAATGTATAATAAAATTTTACAATTAGTTTTTTCCCCCAAAATTCATGATAATATTTTCACTTTAATAATTTTTTATTTATTTTAATAATAAGTTAAGTTCAGAGAATGTAATTTGTATTTTTTTTATCTTATTTATTAAACAATTGTTTTGTTTGTAATGTATTTTTTGTGTCAATTTTTTATAATAATTATTATATATTATTTATATTTATATATATTTATGGATGAAAATTGTCTGAGAAATTTTTGTTGTATAACAGAAAACATTAAATAAAATTTTGTGTTCAAATTTTGTCGCTTTTTACAGAATTATTATATATTATAATATTTCACAATAATATGTTTGTTTAAATCATTTCAATCAAAAATTGTTTATATTTATAGTTATGTATATTATATATGAAAGGAATAGTATCTCAAATGCAGGGGCTCTTTGCAAATGAGACACTTTTCAATTCATTCACATTTTTATATTCTTCACTCTTTTCAAAGAATATCTCAATTTTTATTATTAATATTTACTTTACTTCAAAATTTTTCTCATTTTTCGTTCTCATATTTTAATTACAATTAAAAATTTTATCTCTTGTTATAATCGGACGTAAAGTATTAAATTTATTCTCAAATAAATAAGATTATACTTAAATCACTTCTTTTATTATTATTATTATTAATAGCTGTCATTAATCCAAATGATTAATGTCTTATTAATCGTTTTTGTTATCAAATGATTATTTAATTGTTAGCATATTTTGTAAATATTTTATCATTTAATTTGTAAGCAAATGAGTAGAACTTCAAGCAAATCAACGATTCTTTATAATAGAGAATCATTTAATATATAAGTTATTTAAATGTTTTGTTTGTGAATGGATTTGATTCACAAAATATATAAATTTCTTTCATTTGATATATTTTGCTTGTATTCAACATTTTATTTATTATATTAATTAAATCTTTTTTATTAATCAAAAATATAAATATAAATAAAATTCTGTTTAAAAGTGTCGGAAAGTTTTTTCATAAATTATAATCAATTTGTGTTTGTAATTAGATTTGAGAAGAGATTGTTTTACTTGAAGACTAACATTGATAACAATTTCATAATATAATTGGCATTTAAATGTATTAATGTTAATATAATGATAAAAATAATGATAAAACAATAAACAAATTTTGGCAAACATTTGATATATATTTTCAGCTAAAGTCTAGTCCTTTATAATGAACTGATTCTTTACTTGACATTAATATTCAGTATAAGTTATACCCTTATTATGAATATATTCTCTTATATTCTGTTTATTATATATTCGACAAAAACAGTCAAAAATCTTTTCACTTAACTCTACACTGAGTTCTATCACTAAATCTCAATATTTGTTTCACATTTTGTTGGGAATAAATTGGTTTGTATTTAATTCCCATTTTATTGGTTTCCATTGTTTTGTTGTTTTTGTCGACAACTAATTCTTAAACAGTAAAACATATAAAACATAGAAAACGTTTGTCTTATGAATTGTAGTCATAAATGAATTGTTAATCAAATCGGAAGAAATTCTTCAAAGAATATAAAAAGAAAAATAATATTTTGTTTGTTTATATATATATTCCTAATAACTATAGACTTCATTCATCAGACTTTTCGGTGATTGAAGTCTTTTCTGATGCTATTATTTCTGACTTCGACTTCTCGGATGATGTGAGGGATGGCTCAGTGTTTCGTCGCTTCATTTTCGACTTCCTAAGCATTGTTGCCTATGTATAGCAATGTACAGCAATGTAGAACAATTCATAGCAACCATACTTATTAACAACACATACATCTAATGTAAAGCTCTTTAATCTAATTCATTTGTATATTATATTATCACTCAAAATAATTTTCATTAAAATCTGTCTACAATTGTCTTAAAAACGGGTTTCTAATCTATAACTGCGATAACTATACAGACCTTTAGGGCTGACTTTAATATAACGACTTCGCCGGGCGTTTGTATCCAAGGCTCGCCGTCCACCTGAACCGGCATATCTGTGTTCAATCGGATTCTGATCTGTAATTCATACA